GTGTGTGTGTGTGTGTGTGTGTGTGTGTGTGCGTGCGTGTGCGCGCAAGCGCTTGTACCGCAGTTGCACGAGAGATGGGACAGGCAGTTAATGAATGGAGGGTTGACACCGTCGAGAGTGCGGGCGACACGTAGAGGTGAAGAGGCGGAGTTGGGCCAGTGAAGGTGGCTGGGGCAAGGAGGCCCACTCGGAGAGAGAGGGGGGGATTGGCTGGCAGGGCAGGCGGAGACGGTGGAGACGGGGTGGCAGAGTTGGGTTGGCAAAGATGGTGGATTTGGGGTGAGGGAGGGTGGCATTGGTGGAACTTTTTAACTCTCTCTCGCTCGCTTGCTTGCTCTGTAAGCGCAGAGGGTGGGGAGGGTGGCAGCGGAAGACACTTGGAGGGCGGCTGTAGGACCTATCAGTAGGCGGATTCTACTTCCATCTGGGCCCTGGAGCCAGTAGTGATGGGCCAAAGGCCTGGATTCTCACGTGAGCTTAAAGTCTTAATATCATGTGACAATCCAAGTCATTGGCTCAATAGGGCGTGACAACCGGGAGTTGAGATTCGCCATACTCCTAAGACAATCTGGGCCGTGGCACGACAGGACTGCATACCGCCTGTATTTGTGATTTCTTACATCGGCAACTTTCATAGTGTGGGGAAGGACAACTTTTTGGAGGGCTTCCAGGTTCCATTTCCATTTTTTGTCCCCATTCCAGTGTGTTCGGCTTGCACGTTCAGGGTTTTGATGACTGGGCGAGGTACAAGGGGGTATATGGTCAAGGAAGCCCATTCGTTTGAGTGTGGTATGTCTCACATGCGAGGCCCCGCCTGGGTGGACTCTTCGCTCTGGATTGCAGATTACAAGAGATCACTGGCCAGAAACAGAGAATCCGGTTAAACCACAAGTACACGGCCCGAGCCTTGCAGTCCGAAACTTGTCGCCACAAGAAAACGAGGCCGAAACATCGCCCGCCGTTGATAAATTCGATCGGCGATCGCGTTTTCGTTTCGCGCCTCCAGATTTTGAGGTGTCAAGCCCGCGGCCCAGGTGCCCATGTACTGGTGCTTTAAGAGGGACCGTGTCGCAGGAATGTCGCTAGCTCTGAGGTTATTCAGGCATCTCTCGAAGACGGCATTGGGTGCTTAAGCTTCTTGATGTGTGGGCTCCTCATGCACACACATAGACAACATGCACATCCACATGCATTTCCACAACTGCCCTGGCACATATTCGGTAATGGAAACCCCCGATCCTTACAAGATACTAGGTATGGGAAGAAAGCAAGACACAGGAAATAATGAAGGGAAAAAGAACAAGTCAAAGGGTTGGCGTTTTTTTCCTTGGGTGCTGGCATTTTGTCCTTTTGTGCCAAAGGGTGCCTTTCACACTTACAAAGATAAGTGAGTGTGCACAGTGACTCATCAGACGCAATCTCAGAAGCCGCTCCCTGGTGTTCAAGATCTTCATCATATGCTCTCTGCAAGTTGAGTCCTCTAGTGACTTTTCAGACACTGCTCCAGTCAAACATGTGTCTGGCTTCCCAGAAGCTGCCACGTGGCAGTCAAGCAAGTGCAACACCGCCTCCACCTGTGCCAACCATTTCCTCATAGTCAGTGTGACGCATAAGATCCCTCTGCCACATGAAGAGACGCACTCACCAAACATAGAAAGAGTCCGAACCATCTGATCCCACATGTCAAGACTAGATCATCAGCATCCGATTTCGACACTCTTTTCATACGACGTGTTCAACACCTTATGGAGATCAGATGGTCTACCTGTCTTCCCCCAAATCGAACATACGGTCATTATAGCCGTATTTGGCTTACCTTTCAGTCCAGATGCAACGAAAATGACTGTACGTTCTATTTGGGGGAAGAAGGTAGTCTGGTCTATTCTCTTGCTACGAATGGATCATCGACTCTTTTTGCGTGTAGCATTCGGCCACATGCATGAGCCAGAGTCAACCTCATGGATATCAGATGGTATGATTCGAGGTTTCCGAATAGTACCCTAACAGGTTCTCTGAACAGTATACATAATGCATCGACAGCGCACAGCAGATAAACCTGTGTGTATGTTGAACCGAACTTTGCTGACAAAGATTTTTATTGCTTTATATAATCTGAGATAAACCCAGCCATGTGGTTGAATGGTAAACACGACTGTTGATAAACAGATCACAGGTTCAATTCCTGATGGAACAGAAGGATAGAATAAGTCCTTTAGCACATCCGTTAAAATTAGAACGATACAGAGAGGATGAGCATGCACAAGGATGACACGCGTACATCGAGAAATGATCCAATCATAATGATTTGATTAATAATCAAAGATTACAAAAGCAAACTTCTTTCTTCTGATTCTGGGTCTTCCTCTCCAATCACCTCCCCTCTCTCTCTCTCTCTCTCTCTCTCTCTCTCTCTCTCTCTCTCTCTCTCTCTCTCTCTCTC